GCCGGCAAGCAGGTAACTTAGTAACAATACTAGATTCTCTCTCCTTTCCTCAAGTAGCCGCGCCAAGCTGATTTAAACGATACGAGATGTGTTTGACTTGCATGAAAGTAGAAAAAGATTATGAATGGAGCATCGTGCGATGAGACGCGCCAGTGACTAAATTAAATCATATGCGAAATGCGTTCGACTTGCATGGAGAAGCCTCAATTGGCGTCTGCATGCCTCGCATTGCGCATAATTCAACCGCGAGTCCTTTTCTGTGTTTGCCGTAAACAACCCGATGAGCAAAATGAATGAGTGAAAACAAGAAAGAGAATTTATTCGAGATCGCGATTTATTATCCAGATTAGAATTTACTAGCTAGATTATAAACAAACACATTTGTTTTTTTAATATGTTTGAATCTCATGTTTAGAAATGTTTTTTTTTTTTTTTACATTTTAATAATTTTTTAACAATTCTACGTATTTTTTTTGTATAAAATTACACGCGAAGTAACATGTATTGTAAACAAAAGTAGTTTACAGTTTCTCGTGAATAAAACATCGCGTTGTGAAAATGGAATTTTATTCTTTACGCGCAACATTGTGTCGTGTAAAATGCAAACTTCAATTCACCATTATTTTAACATCGTTACCAGATTCCATTGGTTCAGCGTTTTCACTGATAAACAACATTACGGTTGCTAACGATTGCTCCTATTTTCGGTCGTTCATCCCGCTCTACGCTCATCTGGTCGGAATATTTTCCGGCGGTTCGATTCGGGCCGGATTCTGCTAATTTGTGGGAATATTCTCGTCGATGCGCGCAGACGAAGCGACTCTTGTCTCCCCGTGCGATTCAGTATATGCAACCCGTAGAGGCAAATTTTCACGGTTTACTTTTTTAATCGATAATTAGATAAAAGTCGACTTAATCCAGTTGCGGTCGAAGTTTTTTGTTTTTCTCATCGACGTCGGGGATCTTCATTTTTACGCCCGATGATCTTTTTCTCTTTTACACGTGTCGCGCACGCGGTATAAATAATTATAATTTGTGAAAAATCTCATACTTCCTGTAAATATTGGATGTAAAAAATTCTTATAATAATGTTTACGCGGCGGTGAAGAGAGAGAGACAGATGCAAGTCCGAATCTGCGTGCGAATATATATCAGTCCGATACGTGTAGCATTGTCACGAGAAAAAAGAGAGCGACAGAGGTCTTGCTTGTCTCACGAGAATGCGTTATGCTAGTTACACGCAAGCTTTTCGCGACGAACTATAAACAAGCATTATGATAACTACTACAAACGCGAGTTCTCCGACTCTCTCACGAGCCCTTTACAAAATTGCCAACGGAACCCGTCGATTGTTGCCGCGGACAGATCTTTTCCGTAATTCAATTTCGTAACGTAACATGTGCGCGTATATTATGAAGCATATTTTTTACGTATAACAATTTCTTTAATATGCACGCACGTTGCATCCCTTTCTTTAATAATTTTTTGAAGAAATGAATTTTGTAATTTGCTTATCTCCTATAGAGAAAAAGAGAGAGAGAGAGAGAGAGAAGAGAAAGAGAGATTTATCTTACACAAGAATTGCATATAAATAATAATAAAAATAACCTCTCATTATATATATATATATAAGTTTGCATCTAAATTGTACAAAATTATTTGAGAAACGAACATTCTGCAAAAAATTAAAAAAAAAGAAACTATCAGGTGACTGCAAAAATTGACAATTGATCGATTAGACGTCCGAGATTCGAGTAAAAAGGTTTTGTCGTTCGGATGATGCAATTTTTTTTCTCACGGCGGCTGCGTTTATACGATGGAGCGATCGATCTGCTTCTCAAGCGAAATCGGTGCTTACTGCGCGCAATCGCGAGCAAAAATCGTGCGACATTCTCGATGAAGAAACTACTGAATGAAAGGAAACTAGCAGCGGTTCACACGAGACTGCTGCACGCAGGCATGTAGCACGCACGCACGCACGCACGCACGCACGCACGCACATATGTGTCCGCGTCGAGCATTTACCTTAAAGTAAAACGATTTCCTCTTTACACATTACGAATCTCCCACACCGCGCACACTCGGTAAAACTATCTCCCCGGATTATCCAACGCACCGGTATCGTTACCAGACACGCGAGCCGAAAAGAGCACTGGTTGTCAGCTATAAGGAAGAATTGCTCGCTGATCACACACGCCGACGGACAAGGATGGTTATAGGAATACCGGTTTCTCGTTTTCATACATTTTTTTCCTCTAAAGAAGAAAAAGAGAGAAACAGAGCGAATCTCCGTATTCCGCTTTTTATTCGCGATTCTCGAGAAGGTTTCGTAACGTTAGATGAAGAGTGACGTGCGTTACCACGCAATTCTTTTTTTCGCTGATTTCCAAATAATTCAGAGAAATCGAGTTTATTTATTTATTTACTTATTTTTTTCAAATTTAATTTTTGTCAATTTCGCGTCGATTTAATTTCAAACGTTTTTCGTCTCAGAAGAGTGAGCATAATTTCTCAATTAAAATGAACGACAAAAATAGCCACCACTCAGCGAAATCGAAAACGTAATTACACGTTTTTCCCCGGCTTATTACGCTCGTAGTAGCTGAAAAATTGCAACAAGACAAAACTGCGATCTTCACCGTTCGATTGAGCGTAACAAGTATCGCTACAACAGGAAAAATTGCAACTTTCTAATTAGAACTCGTGTAATTAAGTGGATTAACAATTTTTTTGTGCCGAACACGATTGCAATACTAATCAAATTTGTTACAAGTAAATGATAATCTGGCCGGACACGTAGCTCGGAAATAAAGTCGTTTTGTCGATGGCTCTTAATTTTCAAAAAAAACTGTTACTTCTTATTAATTAATTGTAATATCGTATATAATTGATATAAATATAATAGTATCACCGATGTAAATAATAGTATATAATAATAGTATATATATCGTGAAACAAACAACAACTAAAGCGTGAAATTTTGAAATCTTCTAATCTGCGTTATCGTTCATTCGTATATTGTCTGTCGAAAATTTACCCTTTATTTGACTGAGTCTCTGTCATTCCGAAATGATAAAATAATACCATCGTATAATGATGAAGCTATGTATAATTAAGTTTTAACATTACGCAATTACGGATAGAAATAATTAAACGCTATCATTGCGCGCACAATAATATTAATAAATAATTATAATTCTACTGAAATCACTGTGTTATTATAACATTTGTTAATTATAACAAATTGTATCGTATAAAATTAATTGATATCTATCGCGATACGAATAAAACAGACAAATTTATTTCTACCTATTCTTATTTTACCTATTTTGTTCGTTAAGATTAAATATAATCTCAAAACTTATTACACATCAATATATATA